AGAGAGAGAGAGAGAGAGAGATCAAATCAATCAATCATACCAGTCAAGATCCTAGGATCTTGATCGGTCTGATTGATTGATTGATTGATTGATTGATTGATTGATTGATTTCATTGATTGATTGATTGATTGATTGTGTGTGTGTGTGTGTGTCAGGGAGGGGAGGTGCGCTGCGAGGGGGAAGAACGGCGTGGGCGGGGAGGAAGGACGGCGGGGGTCGGGATCGCGCGGGGGGTACAGTCGGGATCGTGCGGAGGGGGGAGGACGGCGGGGGTCAAGATTCACTGATTGATTGATTGATTGATTGATTGATTAATTGATTGATTGATTGATTGTGTGTGTGTGTGTGTGCGCGCCGGGGGGAGGGGAGGGAGGACCCCTCCCCCACCAATCAATCAATCAATCAATCAATCAATCAATCAACCAATCAATCAATCAATCAATCAATCAATCAATCGAATTTTTTTTTCTATATATATATATATTTTTTAACATATCAAAAATCGCCTCCCCCCAAATTTTTATTTTTTTTATTTTTTTTTGCACAGACCGACAGCGGCCGACATGCGCAGGCTGCGCGCGCGCTCGGATCTCGAGGGCGCGCACCCACCTGCGCGCAAACTCGACCGCGCGCAAACTCGGCTGCGTGGCCTAGGCCGCGGACTCGGATCCTGCGGCCGCGACCGAGGGTGCCACGTTGTAGTATAGACGTTCAAGCACATGAAATGCCCATGTAGTGATTAGAAATAGATCTGATAAAGGAGAAGAAGAGTTTGTAAGTGTATCGAGGATTAATTATGCGGTTCACGATGAATGTAACTGGTCGTGCAATAAGGACATCTTATTAAAGGTCATCTTATCTCTTATCTTTGAGGCTCCTCTCCTCCTTACCCCTTACCCCTTACCCCTTACCCACTACCCCTTACCCCCCCTTACCCCTTACCCCTTACCCCTTACCCCTTACCCCTTACCCTTACCCCTTACCCCTTACATCTTACCCCCCCTGTTCGTATCACAAATAATTCAAAAATGAAGAAAAATATGGCAAAATATGTGAGTTACAATTTCGCTCAAAAAATAAAAAATGTCCGTTTTGACGAAATCGTAGTTACTCGCCACCAAATTCCAACATTGGCCCGGGCCAGTCATCCACTCAACTCGGATCACTCATCCTCGTTCATACACCGACGATCCCGGTCGTCGCGTGTCACCATCCACCACTGCGATCGTCACCCCGCCAACTTAGCCTCTACGTGGCTTGTCCGGATCCCACAGTCTGTCGTGGCGATCTAGCGCACAGCCAGCCAGTTCTACAGTCAGCCCGTCAGGACTTTCTGACTCGCACTATATACATCATCTAGCCGCTGCTTCCCGGAAGCTGGCTAACGAGTTGAGAGAGAGCTTTGTGGATGCGCCGACGGAATTTATAGTTGCGAGAAGGGAGAGAGATGCGGGGAAAGATTAAGAGTGAGGAAGAGGAGGGTAGGAGAGGGCTTGAGAGTAATCGCCCGTTGAAAGCCATGTTGATCCCTCACAACTCGATCTCAGCCAATCAGAATCGTCGCGCAGTAGGAATCTCCTCTTACACGACGCTTCTCCTTGGCTAGATGGGAAGAGAGAATCGGCCGGGTTTTTTCGAGCGCGGGTCTTAGAGCGGGAAGAAAAGGAGTGCGAAGGATAGCGGGTAACGGGTCCAAAACTCAGATGATCAAGAAAAAAAAAAGGGCACGTGCGGGGAAGGAGAGAGAAAAACAGTTACAGGGGGAGGGATCGAGGAAGCACGTGCGCACGAGGTAAGGCGCTGAGAGGGGTGCAAGAAGGAAGGAGGAGGGAGTTCGTTTGCATGGCGCCTAACAGCAAAAGGAGAATGGGCACCGAAACAGTTGCTGTTTTTTTTCCAACCCTACGCTAATTCAAAAATTGAAATCACCATATCCGCGCGAAAAGTAGACGTGGGAAAAGAAAGAAAGTCCTACGCTTATCCATATTCCTACAAAATTCCCAGAGTCTTCCATGTCGAGGCCGAGAACATTCGCGCGCGAAAGGTCGTTCAACAGGGGTTCAAGAAGGGCTCCGGCGCCAATCAACGGGTACAACAGCGTTGAAAAAATCCTGTTGCCCGTTGAATGGACACACAGGTGAAACGCTCCAAGGACGAATCCTTGGGGAATTAGGATTCCCCCCAGCCAATCCTAGGTGAAGTATGATTCCCCAACCATTTTGTCCTCAACTCCAAGCGACTCTCGTGAGGTCCCTTCAAGCCACGGATTCACGTTTCACGGAGAGGAGAGGGCACACACGTGGAGAGACTTTACAACGGTCGAATCCTGATCGTGGCGGCACCCTATTGGCTGAAAGCCTCACGCACAACTGTTTTTCTTTTCGGGAAAAGTTATAAAACCTTCCCTTGGCGAAACCTTTGTAGTCATTTCACCCCAAACGGGACAAAAGGTGCCACGGTCCCCAAAATGACTTTTCATTTCATTTTCGCACCCTGGCTGGGCAGGTAACGACCACTGGCAAAAATGGCGGGAAGTTGTTTTACCGGGTGCAAAAATGACTCCAAAAGTCATTTTGGGCGTTGCGACACTTTCTACCCTGTTTAGGGTGAAATGAATACAAAGGTTTTGCCGTGGGGAGGTTTTAGAAATTCGAGTGTCCATTTCCTGAGGAAGTGGACCGAGGCCGAACTCACGAGAATTCGTCAGCTGAAAGTAGTGGAACGAGACCCTATTCCCTGAGTCAGCTAAAACTATATTTTTTTTTAATTTTAAACCACCAGCACCTTTCCCCGCTTGAAAAACAAATGCCTGCCAGTCAACACGGGTGGGGGGGCAACCTCGGCTCTACCGAGGCAAAATGGCTGGAGGCGCCAGCCAAATTTGATAGCGCGTCGGTTCTTTTTTGTTTTGGCGCACAGTGCAAATGTAGGCTCGGCACCGACAACTGACAAAGGTACAGGCGGTTTAGTAAAAAGGCTAATTCTTGTAAGCCCAACCAATTCAATTACCTGTCGAATCTGGACAGGACGACCTTTAAGGCCTTTTTTTTTGTCTTTATAGTACTATGGAGAACCCTGTAGCCGCCATGTGACGAACCACTCTCTGTAACGCGCAATTTTCTGCGCGGTTGCAATGAGGGGTCATACGTTGGGAAGGTTGGGCCAATTACGGGAGATCGCGATTGGTGGGAAATTGCATCAGTCTCCTTGCTTTTTCATTTTTTTCGTCGCTTCTTTTCAAACGGCTGGGTTCGGAGCTGGGTGTGTCCTGGGATGGCCGGTGGACTGACTGGTCGGCTGGATGGCTGGCGCGCCACCGCGCGCGCGAGTAATAAATGTTGACGTCGTTTCTTTCGTTTCGGGTTCGATCTTTTGAGACGAACAAGTGTCTAGCTTTGCGAACGCCGCGCGAGGACACGTGTAAACGCTATCTAAGTCGCGCGGTTACCCGCATCCCCGTGCGCCAGTTCGCCAACACAAAAGCTTCGCGACGGAGCCATCATCCCGTGCGAGCACGCGTGGCCTACACGTATTCACCCGAGGTGACCGCAACCCACATACACGACCTCGCAATGACACAATGACGCGATCCTGGAATTCCGACTCATCATACGACCCGGATTATTTCACCCCTTGGATAAACGAACTCCTAAGGAGCCATCATCCCGTGCGAGCACGCGTGGCCTACACGTATCCACCCGAGGTTACCGCAACCCACATACACGACCTCGCAATGACACAATGACTCGGGAATTCCACTGCGCCACCTCTAGCAACCCCCAGTGCTCTGATTTCCCTTCGCCCGACCATACCTACTACTTCATTCACCCGGGGTTTGCCGTCAGCACCACCAGTTTCCCTCCGTTTCGCCTTCTTCTTCCGTACCATCAACTCAACGTCGTCCCGTGGCCGGCCATAGCCCCCTATTGGCCCAACACACCCTGCGAGAACTGCCGACGGCGCGGCGATCGAAGAACCCCGGAATTCCGAAGGCCTAACCCGCACGTGCGACGACCAGCACCACGTGGCAACTCCCGACAGACAGACTCATCGGAACCCCACCTACCTCGAAGGGACCGACCCATGAACGGACGTCCCCGAAACCAATGGCTCGCTCGGTCTTGAGCGAACCGCGACTGCCATCCGCCTTGTAACCCAAAAACGCCCTCTTCGCCAAATTGCACCCGTGCCCCCGAAAGACCCTATCACAGGAGATCTCAGTTCTGACCTGGGACTCCACTTTCCCAAAAATCCTTGGCACACCCCTTTTCGCACTTTCAGGCCCACATCCTACTCCGATCAGGAAGTCCCGCTGGGCGTGAGGTTGGTATCGGAGCCCGACACGTGGCTGGGTCTTAGGATTGATAGCACGTTAATTAGGCGATCTGGCTAACTGAGGGCAGCCTCACCCCCGGAACAGGCATAGACGCGACCCTATCGTCACTCGAAACAGATCGGCTAATCGACGAGCAGCCAATATGGCCGCTAATGTGCAAAATCCGAATCCGCAACAGAATGTTAATCAACCCGCCCCACGAGCACGGGCTCTCATGACGCCACCTGATCTTTATCTATTAGATCCGGCACATCATCTCGCAGGAGCATGGCTGGCCACGCTTAGAGCACAGCAGTATACTGACAATGAAGCACAGACCAACATTCCTGCTCGATTAGGAGGGGACGCTTACCTATGTATGGGCTAATCTTCCGACCTTCGAACGGGACTTTCTGAATCGATTCGATTACGTCCATCCAGGACAAGCACTCTATATGATTAAGGACCGAGTGCAAAAACCTCTCGAGTCTGTCGCAGAATATCGAAATCGGTTCTACCGAATGTTCATGAAAAATGAGCGAGGTGAACAAGTCGGAAGAGACTTGTTTATCGATGGGCTTCGCAGCCAAATGATAAGGGCCCCCATCACTCACACACTGCAACAGATCATGGCTGCGACTGAAGAAATGGAACGAAAATTTGCGGCAAGCTTCCTAGAATGGGAAGACTATTCTAGGGAAGGAGATTCCTCCAAACTTGCAAGAGCCAGAGCTGAACTGGTTGCGTTACAAAACAAGTTTGAAAACATAGGGTTTGTATCTGGCCCCGTCACGTATCTGGAAAAGACAGGCTCCAAGCGACCAAGCCGAAGCGAGGTCCCAAGTATCCCTGTCCCTGTAGTACCAACACTCGTCGAAACCCCGACGAAAACCAACGAATCTGCCGCCATCTTTGAGCTAACCAAAACACTGATCAGCTTGATTCAAGAAAGCAAGAAGGAACAGCGAGAGCACAATGCTCGGATGGAGGCCATGATGAGGAACATGCGGCCTATCGCTGTGCGCGCCCCCCCGATTCAGCAAGGGCTAGCCCCGGCGCCTGCTCTCGGAGGAACCGCAAACAATCTGAACGTCTGTTATGCATGTCATCAACCAGGGCACTTAGCCCGTGATTGCCCCCACCGCCCCCCGCAACAACGGATCGGAGTCGCGCCGACGGCTGCGGCCCCCATCGCTTACGGAACTGGACGAGTCGGAGCTTTAATGGAAGAAGGAGAGGGTGAGGGAAGTGCCCTAGCTACCACGGAAGAGGCCGCCGAGCTAATCCCGTTAGATCAGTATGTATCACTTGGTTATCCCGGGCTTGGAATGATCGGAACGATGAGACCAGCGCCAGAACAGAAAGAGGTGGCGGAGTGGCGACCTTCTTCAGGAGAGATGGAGTCGGGAGGACCCACCTTCGTCACTGCGGAGATCGACGTGTTGAACATCATCCGAGCTTTAGATCATCGGATTCCGCTTTCGATCAGTCTTTTGCTTTCGATCTCTGAGCAAGCTCATGAGCGAATGCTACAACACTGCAAGGCGAACCGAAAGCGATTCCCCCTCGCCCGAATACCGAGCGTAAAAGCCAAAAGCCTCACGCCGGACAAAAACGCGACTGGTACGTCAGATCCGATTTGGGTAGGGTTAATCCAGAAAGACGATCATTTCCTGCGGATTAAACCTATCCCATGGAAATCCGCAGAATGCGATATTGAAATTTGGGGAATTCCGTACAACGCAATCATTGATTCGGGAGCGGCTGTTTTGGCAATTTCATTAAGAATAGTCGAAAGGGCCAAAAGGAAAAATGATCTGATCATGCTCACCGAAAAAGATCAGCTCGTTTCGGCAGATGAAGAAAAGATTAAGACCGTAGGAAGGATGACCAATGTCGCGTTCCGGTTAGGAAAAGTGCATGCACTGGGAGATATCGTAGTATTAGATGTTAATACGTACGACGTTCTTTTCGGACTTCCCGCTCTCGTGGCCTTAAGAGCGAACTTGGATTTCGAACAGAGATCGATCATCCTCCGCAATACAGGAGGAAACCCTACGYCGTAYCTATGCGATTAACCCTTCRTACTACCATCAACGAGRTCCCCCGAGTTTCRCCAATGATGGCCGGAACCCTTCGTATGATCTCCTGGGAAGAATCTGTGGRCGATGAGCCATCGATGAATGATGGGGATAGCAGTGATGAAGATGACCCGGAAATTTTRAAATTAGCACGACAGCGTGTTTACTATCCGSCACCTAGAATGATAGCGAGAACGATGCATCTGACCAGTCAGAAAATTCAGAGGACCAAGGCGATGATCTTGGGTGAGCCCCTCRTGCAGATTTYGAGGATGGTCGATTCCTTGGAACCCCCTCAAACCTTGTACGAAGGAACCACCCCTCTCCYCGCCCGATACAACGATAAAAAGCATTACTGTGATATTACGGACTTACCAAAATCCCTATTGACATCTGCTAAAGAAGTTCGGTTGTTACGCTTGGGGGCGGAAGCAAGTTCTGTGGAACCCCCTGGGCGTCTCGAGGCAGAAACAGACGAACTTGTGATAAAGATCGCAACCAAAAATGTACCATGGCAGGATATCTGTGACGGGATTACCTCGGAAGGACACGTGGCAATCCGCAAGGAAGACGCCCAGATGATGGCAATGGTRTTCTCCTGGCGATCGGACCATTCATTCATCTCGGCGCCTCCGCCCGACGTGGCGAAACAGGCGCGCACGAAGCAGATTAACGTTCGGATCTAGGACCAACTCTGTGAACTACACGTACCACAGTACGTGCCCGATGAGACTCATCGGTTGATTGCGGACATTCTAACGGAATATCAAGGAGCGATTAATGTGACAGACACTGACATTGGCTTGTCGTTAGTAATTCAMCACAAAATTCAGACAGGAAATCACTCCCYGATTCACTGCAAACCTTACCGGTATTCCTTGAATGAACGCAAAAAGGCTCTCGAACGAATTCGGGAATTCGAAGCCAGCGGGTGGATTGAACCCGCCATTGGACCTTGGTCATTTCCCGTAGTATTAGTGCCRAAGAAAAACGGAGCGATTCGCATTTGCATTGATTACCGCAAGCTGAATGAAATCACGATCAAAGATGTGTATCCCCTCCCCCGGATTGATGATRTATTGGATGCRCCAATTATTTTAGCAAATTTGATATTCGRCATGGMTTCCATCRTATTCTGGTGAAGGAGGAAGATCGGYCGAAGACGACCGTCGTGCTGTTTGAGGGTACGTGGCAATGGKTTCGATGTCCGATGGGGATTTKCATTGAGCCCGCCACGTTTCAGAGAGCGATGAACATGACGTTCCAGAATTTCGTCAACAAGACACGGCTGACACAAGGGATGATTAACTTCTGTGTAATTGTGTACATGGACGATATCCTGGTCTACTCGGAAACCTATCACGGGCACGCGCAACATATCGAWYGGACACTGGGCGCGCTGAGAGACACTGGGTTCAAGATTGCGCTCGAAAAGAGCGAATTTTTCCTTTCGGAGATTTCGTTCTTGGGCTACGTCGTGACACGTGGAGGACTGCGACCAGATTCAAGGAAAGTTGAGGTGGTGAAAGAAGCTCCGGTTCCCACGTCGCTGACGTAGGTTCGAGCCTTCTTGGGGTTGGCATCGTACAACCGTCGCTTCATCAAGGGCTTTGCTGCAATTGCACGGCCGCTAACGAGCCTGCTACRAAAGGACCRGCCTCTCAGTTGGGACGCGGAGTGCCAACAGGCCTTCGCGACCCTCAAGGAYGCTTTAGCGACGGCTCCTATTTKCATCCGACCGGACCCCTCCAAGCAGTTCATCCTCATCACGGACTGGCAACCGGAAGCTATCTCCGCTATTTTAGCGCAGAAGGGGAACGATGGTCGTGAGCACGTCATCGAGTACGCCTTGCGCACGGTGCCCAACGAACGACGAAATGACTCAGCACCTCAAGGAGAATGTTACGCAGTGGTTTGGGGAATCAAGCATTTYCATCCGTATCTCTACGGACAGAAGTTTCGCCTCGTAACAGATCACGAACCCTTGCTGGCGTTGAAGAAACTCACCAATTACACGGGCATGATTGGTCGTTGGGCGGTGCGATAACAAGAATACGACTTCGATATCGTCCATAGAAAGACAGAGCGACAAGGCAACGCGGACAGACTGACACGTCTGCATCGACCTGCCAAAGTACCAAAGGGCRAGGAGATTACACCGTGGAAAGAGCCGGACTTCACCAACGAGCCTAAGTACGGACAACTGGCAGTTCTCCCACGTGGCAAGAAGCAAAACAGTGGCAATGGGTGATGGAGGTAACCCCATTACCCCTCTCTCTCCCATCTCCTCTTCGTCTTTTCTCTCCCTGCCTGATAAATTTTGTTACTTTTGCGAAGCTATTTCCCGCGTGTACTCGGTCTCTATGCGTCCTAACGGGGAAGGGTATGCGGAATGGATAGAYTGTCGACAGTGTGTTGGACGARCCCATGGCTCGTGCATTYWGTATCAAAATAATAGTAAACCGTGGTTGTGCCTCTTGTGTCGGATTGACAAGATTCCGACCGAGGCTCGCTTTTTGGATGCCACGTTAGAAAGGTTGGAAAAGACCCGGAGGTTTAGAAGGGTCGAAGTATGGACTGATATTGCTTTGAATGCCACCTTGGTTGGCAACCCCCTCGAGGATTTCACCAAGGATGATCGGAGGAGGGCTAACGAGAGGGCTCGGGACTATCGATGGATAGAGGGTAGATTGGAAAAACGAAAAACGGACGGCAGTGGAATTTGGATGGTTGTACCGCATCCGTTCATGAGGTATGACTRGGTTAAGACGGCACATGAGGAAAATGCGGCTCACTTTGCCGTACGGATCACAGAGTCGGCTATCGACAAAAATAAGTGGTACTGGTCCAATATCCGCGACGATGTGAAGTACATCGTCGCCAAYTGTCAAGTCTGCGYCGCTGATAAAGCGCCGATTCAGCCGCCAAGATCGATAGTACCAACGGTAGTTGAACGGCCGTTTCAAMGAGTGAGCATGGATACTACCGACATAGTGGTGCCCCCCCGGTCCTAATAGTTGTGAGTATTCAGTCCTATTGGTATTTGTCGACCATTTTTCAAAATTGATCGAGGCCTACCCTTGTCGCACTCGACAAGCCGCCAAAATCGCGCGGTACATCAACCGTTTTCTYGGGATGCACCAGGATACGGAAGAGATCCTGACCGACAACGGGGCTGAATTCAGAGGAGAGGTGCTGAGGAATCTGGTCATACATGGCGTCGCCATTCGGAACACTGCGCCCCACATGTCACAATCCAATGGAYTGGTAGAAAACGYGAACAGGGTGATAAAGAMAGCATTGCGACGGAACATCGCGGCACGAGATCCGAGGTCCTGGCCCGATATCGTCGACCACGTCCTGGCGGTCCATCGCGGTACGCCTCACGAATCGACGGGGCTAAGCCCCTTCCAATTAAGAACCAATAGCGTCGCTTGCGTTTTAATACGAAGCCTCCCGGATGAATGTACAATGAACCGACGATCCACCAGGGTCACGGCTCGGGACAAGGCCAAACGGCACTTATAGTTGATGGAACGGTCCCTGCCCAGGCTAGCCCGAAAACGACACTGAATGACCGAACTGGCCCAGGGACGAGAGGTCCAAAGCTACAAGGCCCCGAATGGGAATGCAGGTCCACGGCCCCAATACAAATTAGGGGACATGGTGCAGGTGAGGAAATGTGCTCGCCAGGATAAGCTAGCGCCACGATTCTTCGGGCGATATCACGTGATCGAGCTCGGCCCCAACGGCATGGACACCGTGCGTCTCGCCCCCAAGGTCTCTTGCAGTCGATCGGCTCGTCCGATCACACGCCACGTGTCCTATCTTCGCCTCCACCCCTCTACTCCATCTCCTTCTTCATCAGCCTCCCCCTCAGAGGAAGCCAACGACGACAATCTTATCTCTCCGGCATCTCCCTCTTCTTCTTGCCCCTTCTCTGCCACCCCGTCACCTCCGCCATCGCCATGAGCTTCGTCACCGAGCGGGCTTTCGGTGATCAGTTGCTGATGCCACGGGGAGAGATCTCAGCCATCCGCTAAGTGCATCATCCGCGGATCAGCCCCGACTTCTTGCGCCTTGCGCAGTTTTTCTGTGCCTTGGGTGTGTACCGCGCGAGAGAGTTCCGGTTCAAGAGCGATCCCCAGGTGGTGGTGCTGGCCAAAGCAACGACGTTCCCGCGGCGAGCGGCCCCGGGTGTTAGCAACGTGTCTACCGTGGTAGTCTTTAGCGGCGACATCACCGCCTTCGATCCGGCGCGCCAAGACGCCATTAAGAGCACTTTGTACAAGTGGGGTCACGATCTGGCCGCTGATTGGGATCGACGGCTCACAAGGCACGGCCACGAGTGCTATCCTATCGACGAGATCGAGGTCAACGTGCTGCGCACGACGCTGCGCGAGCCACCTATTGTCCTCCCTGAGCTTGCCCCCTTCTAGCCGCGCAGATGAGCCGCGCGCCGATCTCAACGTTTCCCCCCCCCTTTTCTCTTCCCAATTTTCAGGCAGTCCTCTCACTACCCCCCCATCTCTCTTTTTGCCTGAAGTCGCAGGCAGTACCCATCGTTGATCCGGATCGTTGGAGGTTGTGGCGTGCAGAGTTCGTCGAGCTCTCATTTTGCCTGCTACGAGTGGATCTGAACTGGACGTGGGAAGGCGATCGGAGGCCCGCGTCAGAAACCGTGGAGCTGCTTATCCTTCAGGCATGGAGGACTAACGTGGCGGAAGATCTTCTGGGATTCATTTTTGGAGCGGTAGATCGGGGATACCGATCACAGATCGTGCGCGAACTTACGATTGTGATCGCGCGACAGGCCGACGAGCTCCCCCTCAATATCATCTCTCAGAGTGACGAGGAGCCCGTGCCGCACGTCCTCTTAAGGACTCTCGCCCAGAGCCTCCAGTGGTCGGCTTGTATTGAGGAGCGCTGGGCGGACGACCGTTTTCCATCCCGCAGCGAGTACCTGGACGTTCACAGCCTAACTAACCCCCTCTTCTTTCGACAACCAACGGCGTTCGAGTGGGCAACGCTGAGAGAGGAAGAAGAAGCAGAAGAAGAATCGGAAGGAGAATTAAGAAGGGAAGCCAGGAAAGCAGCGGCCCGGTTGGCCGAGGACGAGGAAGAGGAACGCGAAGCAGAGAAAGAAGAAGCAGCGGAAGCCGAGGAGGAAAGAGAAGAAGAAGAAGAGGAGGAGGAGGAGACTTCGGAAGAGGAGGAGGAGGAGACTTCGGAAGAGGAGGAGGAAGCATATAGCGAGCACAGTGAGGGGGGGCAAAGTGAAGAGGAGGAGGACGAAGACGATGACGAAGGAGTGGAAAGCGGAGAAGACGATCGGGAGCCAACGTACGACGACGAGCTCGAGTGGGTGCCAGAACCGGATCGTCGAGAGGAGAACCCTGAGGCCGCCGCGCAGCACAAGAAGGAGGTCGCGAAAGGAAAGCGGCCAGTGATCGACTCCGCACCGAACGATCCCTCCAAGGATCCCGAGCCTCCCAAGTCGAAACATGGGGACCTTGCTGCCACGACCCCGAGCGCCACGATGACAAGGTGCCGATCCCAATCCCCATCCCCCTCCGCCTCCGCCCGTCCCCCAATTCGTCAACGTGTCGATGAGGGACTTCGCCCTTCGTCCCCGATCCATATACCACCGTCCCCTTAGCCACCTCTCTTTCAATCAGTATCTCCATCGCGTCGTCTTCCCGCTTAATCCCTTCCCCATTGCCACTTTTCGGCATTTCTATTCCGCCCGCCTAGAGCTGACTGTCCATCCCCACCCTTCAGTTCGATGTGCCGTCCCCGATTACCCCCTCCACGTTCTACTCCTTAGCGCCGCGTGGCGAGGCCGTAACCACATAGAGGTTTACTGCATCGTCATGGGGACATTTCCCACCTGCGAAGACCATGATCGGTTTTGCACGGACATCCTCCGAACCCTCGTCTCCCTTTACCCAGACTACCTCGCTTCCCTTCCCCGCAGCGGCCAGCGATTCCCCCGTTTCGATCGCATCGTCCGCTTCCAAGATCTTCCCTACGACCTCACCACGATCGGGCGCTTCATACCCGAACTTACGATGGAGCCGCCTCGCCCTCCCTCATATGAGTATCGCCTTCCTTTCCCCATCCCGGTTAATTTCTGATGCAGCGGTAGTGGACTCGTGTCGCGGCGACGGCACGAGAAAGATCCCGTCCTTGGATCGTCGAGAGCCCAATCTGAGGAATTGGTAGGAGAGAGCCTAGATGCCACCATGGATGACTTCCACATTCGCTCACACGGTAAGTGGCATAAAAGAGAGAGCTCCTCGTGTCGATCGATTAGAGAGATCGACACGTGTCATTGTTAACCAGCAAGCGGGAGCTTGCTGAAGATTGGAACCCCCTGGGCGTCACATATGTGACGAACCACTTTCTGTAACGCGCGATTTTCTGCGCGGTTGCAATAAGGGGTCTTAAGTTTGGAAGGTTGGGCCAATCACGGGAGATCGGGATCGGTGGGAAATTGCATCAGTGTCCTTGCTTTTTCGTCTTTTTCGTCGCTTCTTTTCAAACGACTGGGTTCGGAGCTGGGTGTGTCCTCGGATGGCCGGTGGATTGATTGGTCGGCTGGATGGCTGGCGTGCCATCGCGCGTGCGAGTAATAAATGTTGACGCCGTTTCTTTCGTTTCGGGTTCGATTTTTTGGGCGCGGACATCGCGCAGGAATTTGCTTCGTTCTTTTTGAAATTTTTTTTGAGTCTTTTTCGAATTTTGTCGAGCCCCGATGGCTCTTGGAATTTCGGATTTTCCCTCTGAAATTTGTGCCTTTTGCTTCTTCGCATTAGATAGGAATTTAGGAATTTCGTAATTAGGATTTTTCCTGCCGCGCGACACCTTTTGTCTACTCGCTTCTTCATGCGGCTGCAACGGTACTCTGATTAGTAGGCGCCCTTAATCGTGTGTGTAACTGTAATTTTGGGCGGGCGCCATTGTAACTATATCTTTCTTCTTGCACTTCGTCTTTCCCGCCCTCCTTCTCTTTCTTTTGCTACGTTTTTGTAAGCCGCAGTCTGCATGATCGGATCGATGCGTGGAGAGCGGCTACGTCCCCCACGCCGCGATCAGACCATCCAGACGTAGGCGATTTCCTCCCCCTTCCCTTCTTCTAAGTCCTTGTAATTCCGTGTTCTTCGCGCATGCATGCACGCTATAAATTCCGGCTGCGCGATTAGTTAGTTCTCTTAACCAGCTGTCGGAAGCTTGGGGTTGCGCGATCAGGAAGGGTCGGCACACGAGCGAAGTAAGAGGTGAGTAAAGTAGGAGTCGGGCGACCCGACGAGCTGGTGCCAAACGCGCGGGGTTGACGCGGGCCACGATGGACTGTGGGCGCGGGCGAACCTGACGGGTGCGGGAGGACTAAGCAGGGTGACGGCTTCGTGGGTTGGTGCGCGACGACAGACTGTCCGCATCGGAGAGAGAGAGAGAGAAAAAAAAGGGAGTTGAGGTTGATGGACGCAGAGTTGCTGTTTCTTTCGGCTTTTCTCCCTCCTGTCTGTGTATATAAATTTTGATTTCGGCTTTGGGCGATCTGTCCGATTTTCTATTTTTCGGAATTTGGACTTGGTTTTCGCTCACGCTCGCCTTTGCGATTCTCATCTCGGATACATGATGCGTGTGTGTGATTGTTGAATGAATGGATGCCTGGATGTCTTGTTTTGCTGCTCATTTTCCATCTTTTGTCCCTGCTTACGTATTTGATGCACCCGCAAGTAGGATGGGAATTTTGCGCAAATAGGGATTCTGTTTTCATTTCTGCTTGTCTCTTGGCTGGGCCCTTGTGTTTGCGGCATGTTGCATACTCGAAAAGGACGAAGTGATTAGACGAACAGATGTCTGGCTTCGCGAACGCCGCGCGAGGACACGTGTAAACGCGATCTAAGTTCCGCGGTTACACGCATCCCCATGCGCCGGTTCGCCAACACAAAAGCTCCGCGGCGGAGCCATCATCCCGTGCGAGCACGCGTGGCCTACACGTATTCACCCGAGGTGACCGCAACCCACATACACGACCTCGCCATGACACAATGACGCGATCCTGGAATTCCGACTCATCATACGACCCGGATTATTTCACCCCTTGGATAAACGAACTCCTAAGG